CCAGCCTACCCTACTAGTAAATACTAGAGCATTCGCCAAAGTACATGATAATTCTAGAAACGTTGCGTCACTGTAGTCATGTGACTGCTGACGCAACAATATTAACATTATGTTTATACTGAATATATTTGTGCAGCCTAACTTAGTGGTAGAAAAATATTTAGTAAAAATTAAAAATAAATGAATAAATAAAACTGTGCATCATTAAAAATGGAGATCCAGAAGTTACACAAACAACTTGTATTAATGTAAAAGCAGAAGCCATTACCATAACAACCATTATTGATCAGTAAATACATTAAATTAAAATTAATGATGCATCTTTAAACAATAGTGAAATGTTTTTAGTTTTACTCTAGATTTTTTCATGTGTTAAATGAGAATTTTGCCATGACCTAAAAATAAATAGTTAAAAATTGATAATGGGTTATAACTGCAAGAGACTGAATATTATGAGGAAACCTCTATGTTTAAACCTGGTAGTAAATTCTGAATGGACTCTCCTTTATTTCAGACCTGTAGATATATTAAATAATTATTATTTTTTTTCATCTTACATTTTTTGCAATTCCCACAAGAAGAAAACCAGGAATATTTTCATGAATTTCAAGAACTAGTTTACAGTTTTTCTTAGAATTTCTTGCACAAGGCTAATGGTCAATAACTATCAACATTTTCAGAACTAAACATGCCCACCATCAGTAATATAAACGACTTATTCCATATAATTAACTCTGTGACTCACTGCAAATTATTTGTCCTCATAGATTTAACACTATTTTGTTTTTTCTATAAGAAGTGTAATATTTCAACCAATGATTTTTCTAACCCCTTACATGGCAGGTATCATCAAGCACTGCTCTTAACACATTCTTATAGATTTACATTAATCCCAGAAAAAGATATATATACACACACACACACACATTTAACATCTTCAAACTCTTTAGGGCCAAATGATTTTCCTAAATAAGTATTTGAATTGTCTAGTAACCATTTTCCCACAGAATTGACATAGCACAAGTTACGAATCGTTTTGCGACCATTTTCCCACAGAATTGACATAGCACAAGTTACGAATCGTTTTGTGACCATTTCCCCACAGAATTGACATAGCACAAGTTTTGAGTCGTTTTGTGACCATTTTCCCACAGAATTGACATAGCACAAGTTTTGAGTCGTTTTGTGACCATTTCCCCACAGAATTGACATAGCACAAGTTTAGAGTCGTCTTGCAACCATTTTCCCACAGAATTGACATAGCACAAGTAATGATTCATCGTGCGACCATTTTTCCACAGAGTTGACATTTACTTTGACTTGCCAAATAAAAAAGTTCTACTTATGGCCTCAACAATTGTGAAAGCTTTAGTCATAAATATAACATAAACATGAAAACATATGATTGGCATGTAAATTATGTTTTTAATAAACTTGTTGAGTATACTTATTTGATTAGTGGCACTGGATTCATAGATTAACCCCAAATTAGGCAACAATATCAATTTCTCAGTTATTCTCCAAACATTTGACAACAGAAGTAGTTTCAATATGGCTGTCATAGTGTGAAGGCAAAGTTACCAAAATATTTCTGTTAAATACAATTGCTGCTACAACCATTAATGCCCTAACACTCTATTTGTGATATAATATAAGCATAGTTTGGAGATTTGCCTTAAAAATATTTTTGTAAAGTAAAAACATTGTTGGCTAAAGTGGCATGTCATGAACACGTGCACAAATCTACCAACATCTAATTATGAAATTGTCCATTTGTATGGCACTTTCTGATTGGATCCAGTTGTAGATGGATTGGTGCAATCTGCCAATGGTACACAATGTTGCAACCTAAGCTAAACAACACCTAGGCAACCAGTGAATAGACAAAATGACCATGGTAAGAAAAGATTTTGTGCAAAGTATTGCAATGTTACATTTATGGCAATACCCACTCCTAGTGGAATGGTTACTAGGCTATTTACTCACAATGCATCTATACAACACAAATTTGTATCATTACATCCATAGCTCAACAATGTTTTTTCCCTAGTAACACCCAATCTGTGTATGCAAGCAAAAATACACACCATTTGTAACGAATTTACTAACATTGCATCTTTTTGTCTTTGTTACATCAGTAAATGAGCAAATTTTCTTCCTTTCTTTGGAAGTAATACATTGATGATACATTATCAGCTGTGTCATCACACATAACTTTAGAAACAGGTAATCATAGCATCAGGCTTGTTGCTAATGTTAGCTTTTTAAGTGTCAGATTGTTACCTAAGTTCATTATTGAGAAGTCACTTAAATATAAACATTTAAATGCACTGATTATATAGCTTTTCTTTTCAATAAGTTTAGAATTGACAATATTGAATCTAAAAAAGCTTAGTCTATTGGTTACCGAATCCCATAACTTTTTCATGTAATTCTAAATTATTGTGGTAAATATGCTAATTGTGATAATTATTCTACATAAGTGTAATACTACTGTCTGTTGTATGTCCATGAAACTACTTCTCAGGGTGTAGATGGATCTTCACCAAAATTGATATAGAGGTTCGTTAGGTCCACGCATGGGTACGTACAAATTTTCAGTTTTGCAGTTTCTATGGGCCTTTTTGTGGTTTTTACCTCTACTTTAACCCCTGTAGATGGATCTTCACTACATTTGGTCCTTGCGAGGGTACATACAAATTTTCAGTTTTGGAGTTTTATGGGCGTTTTCACATTTTTTACCACTACTTCACCCTCTGTTGATGGACTTTCACCAAATTTGGCATGAAGATTTATTAGGTCCATGTGGAGATATATGCAAATTTGTGGTTTCACATTTTGTGTTTTGCAGTTTTTATGGGCATTTTTGCATTTTTTACATTTACATATAAGGGAACATGTCCTGAAATAACCTTTCATTAATCATGAATTTACATAACTTCCATCCAAGGGATGGGTACTTCAGCTAGTATGACAATAATATTAGAGGAATGATTTTTATTATTGCCCATCATTACTTATTCCAAATTTTGTCAACAATGATTTATTAGAATTCATAAAACATTTTTATATCTTTAGTCATCTCAGGTTCCTGTCAGTGGACTCTCATCATCACAAGAACCCCTAAGTGATAAACAAGACTTTTCCCAACCCAGCACATCTCAAGATAAACAGTCATCTTCAAGTCAGGATGAGTTGTTTCAAACCAAAGATTCTTCTTCTTTACTATCAAGTTTACAAGATTCTGCTGGTGGTCAGTGTAGTCTTTGTTTGCAGCGGCCAAAGACTGGCACTATGATTCATGGTCGGACAGCTCACCAAGTTTGTTGTTACAAATGTGCTCGTCGCCTTCAAAGTTCTGGTCAAAAGTGTCCAGTTTGTCGAAGGACGATACAAAGAGTTGTGAGGAACTTTATCTTGTAAATAGTTCATATATATGTAATTTATTCAACCAATGATGATTAGCAAAAATTGAACTTCTGCAAAACCCATTCTGTATTAAATATTTTCATTACATGCTTACTGATGCTGTGAAGAAGTACCAAGGTTTTCCTTATGTTTTGAAATCAACCATTAAAAAATGTAAATTACTTCAAAATTCAAACCTTTTCTGTGACTTATCTCACCAAAACACCCAGTTAAATATTGAAATGTTGCCTTCAAATGCTTTTTTATATCTTATAATTAATTATTATTTTTCCATTGGTGTTTCTAATTCTTGTTACACTTATTATTTCTTGAAGTTTAAAAAACACATAGTTGTGATAGTTCATTGTTTTCACACTGTTGATGAAAGTCTGTACAATTGAGAATATTACATGAAATTTGATAACACTAAAATCTGCTTGTTAATAAAATACTACCATAAAATTCACTAGTAATTACTTGTTAAGAAAATGCCATCACAGAATATATCAGTAACAACTCTGCTACTACATAGCACTTTTTTCTTGTCTTGAGAAAGAAATACTTGTGTATTTCTAACCTCCTACTCTTTCACATCTGTGCAACCATGTAGTACTTTTTTATTATCTATACAAGAAAATACATATTTTTAACCTCGTACTCCTTCACATCTCTGCATCTATGTAGTAGTATTCTTCTAACCTACTCCTTTACATCTCTGCATCTGTGTAGTAGTATGTTTCTAACCTACTCCTTCACATCTCTGCAACTATATAGTAGTATGTTTCTAACCTACTCCTTCACATCTCTGCAACTATACAGTACGTTTCTAACATACTCCATCACATCTCTGCAACTATATAGTACGTTTCTAACCTCCTCCAGTAGGTTAGAAACATACTACTATATAGTTGCAGAGATGTGAATCCTTCACATCTCTGCAACTATATAGTAGTATGTTTCTAACCTACTCCATCACATCTCTGCAACTATATAGTACATTTCTAACCTGCTTCTTCACATCTCTGCAACTACACACAGTACTTTCCTAACCTACTTCACATCTCTGTTTTTTGGTTGTAATAGAGCTGTGAAACATTAATAGATAGTTAAAAACCTAAACATTTTATGGAGAGTATAACTGAATTAGAAGTCTGATTAACAGCTTGGAAGTTAGAATCCTTATCTGAATTTTGTTAATGGAGTTTATTTGTTCTTGTCATTTGGTTAGTTGCTGCAATGTAATATTCTGTCTGTTGTGTAGCTTGCTTCCAGATAGTGATAGTAGTAGTTTTGATACTGTGGAATAAGTAATATACATTCTTTGTGTTAGAAACAGAATAAATCACATAATAGTAAATATAATACTGGGTACAACAGTTTCTCGTTAATTTTTAGGTGTTTCCGACAGGTTTTTATTTGATTCACTTTGAAGTTAGATATTACCCTCTACTTTTCAGATTGTGTGTGTTGTAAAGATAGCAACTTTATTTTAAGTGATCTGTGAACAGACTCAGAAGACTTTTGAAGGTTTTTTTTTTTTTAATTATCTTTGATTTATTTCTGGAAAAAATTAAAAATGATATAACAAAATATTTTGAGTGTGATATTGACCTTGGCAGATTCATCAAAGGAACTTGTTTATCTGCAGCTCTAGGAGATCCTCCAGCAGCCATTATTAGCATGATTTCTTCAAATCATGGCCCATGAGACTTGCTTGTTTAAGCTTCAACAAATAGTCAATGCTTTTAAGAAGTAATCTCTGAAATGTAGCTAATGATGACTAAGTCTAGAGGCATGTCTGTGTGATGTAACAGGAGATAATGGCTTTGAGTTAGTAGAATAAACGGGCAAACAGACTACTGTATTGTCTGGATTGAGAGAGAGAGATATGTTTGTCTTGCTCTTTTTCCGTCAGATTACCTTGTCATCTTTGCAATTTTTTTATGGTTTTTTTCCATACATAATAAATCAACACCTTTACACAATACATTCATTTCTCTGGTGTTACAGTAAAAAACCTAAGGCGACATATTATCGTGAAGCATATTAAAATAGTACTGTGATAAACAAATGTAGGGTTTGTAATTTGTCTTTAATTTTATATTGTATACGTAATGGAGGTCAAGTCTCGATTTCAGAGACTTAAGTCTTAAAGATATAAGGTCAGATAACTTAGTGTTGTTAATTTTGTTGAATAGGAATTATTGGAAAAATTTATTAAACTAGTAAAAGTGCTGGATGTAGTTACTTTTCAGAACTCTTTACATGTTTGTAAATCAATTGCAAGCTCTTTACTATTAGTTAAAATGACACATGAAGTTTCGTTGTAGTGTTTTTTGTGTATTTTTTACAGGTTCTGTGATATAAATGTAATGTATAACACAATACTTGTGTTTAGTACTCTGTATTAAACATTGGCTTCATCATAATTTTGTGTATTGTGTTGTTCATTATAATATTTCATGTTAATGTTTATTACATAAATTCAGTTCTAAGTTTTGGCATCAGGATTTTCACACAAAGTTCTCATATGCAAATAGGTTTTTTAACTAGACTTAGCATTGCAACCACACTTCACTCTCTTCAGCAAGATAAACATACAAAAATAAACACCTGAAAAATCGCTGAACAAGCAGGCTTTGTGCTGTAATAAATTCACATTTCCTGTGACCAGACTGTTGAATTTAAAATCAAATTTGGCTTAGAAGATCTTAAGTTGGGTTGATTCAAAGAAATGGGTTAATCTGATAGTTAATAAATTAATCAACTAAAGCAAAAGAAATAACTACCTGATGAATAGTTTAAGATGGGCTTGGGTATATAATTAAATAACTATAAAAGGCCAAACAAACTAATTTAATGTTGGCACAGAGAAAAAATTCAATAGTTCATTTAGCATTAAATTTCTCACTCTCTTGCACTTGTTTAAGATTTTTTTCTGTTACTATTTATGAGATGATCTTAACTGACATAAACAATAATTTGAAAGATGGACAGACATGGCTCAAACAGAAAAGAGAACATTTTTTGAATGATGTAAAATACCTCTCACTTTTAGTTAACTATACTAAAACATTCTCATGTTTGTGTATGTTGTTTAGGTTTTAGAAAAATATATTAAACAATTCAAGGATAACATTTATTTTTTGTCTTTAATATGATTTGTTTGATTTAACAGATCCCAAAAGACTTTGTCATATAATGACTGGTGCTCTTTATCTCTTTTAGAATATGTGAAAGTTCCCAAACCAATATTAAAAGTTGTATCTGTTAAAAATTTCTAGAAATTGGAGTACTTTTGGAAAGGGTACTAACCTAGATTTTATTCATTATAAAAGTCATGTTTACTGATAAATGTATATGTAACAATAAACTGATTAGCCTGTCATTCATATTTAGAGGAAAGTATATATTACCTGTCCATGAACTATCACTATTTTTATGTAAATTATGAATTAACTAGGCAACTTGAATGACACACAACGCCAGTGTGTGCCAAAAAAAAATATTCGAGCAACCACTTCATTGGATGTTGTTTTCTGTCATTTTTCAAAGATGATACTTGCTTGTTAATGCTTTTTCAGGATTACCTTCTGCTCAGAATTACTTTGCAGTGATTAGTGTGAAAGTGTATCTGCAGGAAAACGTCATTTTTAAAATGTTTAAGTAATATTTTCATCTTACGTTAAACACTTATTCATGATGTATCATAAATCATATTAAAACTTCAGTTTTGGTGTTTTTTCATTTGTGAATAAAATTCATTTGTTTAAAACTCTCAGAAGTGTATCTTTTTTGTTTCTGTTTATATTATATAAACTGTGATGGATAACTGCTGTTTAGATAAAATATTTTCCAATTGTTTTAAATTATCTTGAGGTGTAAGAGAGCACTAACTTTTATAACTCAGAAGATTGGTATTAAGTTGATAGATGGAAACAAGATGACTGCAGTAATTCTGAGCTGGTTAAGAAATAATTGGGAAGTTTAAAAAATGATAAGGCTCCTGGGCCAGATAATATTTCCCCAAGGGTTTTGAAGGAGGTTAAAGATTGGATATGTGAGCCACTTACTACTATTTTTTGTCAGTCCTTGAATAGTGAGAGGTAACAGAGGATTGGAAGTTAGCTAATGTAACTCCTTGTTTCAAGGAAGGTGATAAAAATTGTCCTGTAACTATAGGCCCATTAGTCTTACATTAGTTGTGGCAAAAGTTTTGGAAAGTCTGATGAAAGATTATTTGGAAAATCATTTAACAAAGTTTAGAATTTTAACGTATAATCAACATGGTTTCACTAAGGAAAAATCTTATGACATTCTTGGAAAAGGTTGCTGCTTATGTAGTTAAGGGTAAGGGTGTAGATTTGGTGCATCTGGTTTTTCAGAAAGCATTTTACAAGGTGCCACATAAAAGGCTTGCCTTACTATTTGAAAATTTAAGTAATTAATTGACCATTGTTTCATCAATGTCATTGATGTAAATCAAAAAGAGCAAAGGTGCTAAGACTGAGCCCTGAGGTACCCCACTTGTGACATTACTGCAGATTCACTGAACTCCATTTGTAACAATCCTCTGCTTTCTTCCATTCAGCCACTCTTCTATCCAATTTGCTAACTTATCCCCCACACCTATAGAGCTAATTTTTTTTTGTCTATGATGTTGCTAGCTGTGAAGAGGATGCTGCTGATTTACAAAAGGACTTGAATCATTTAGTGAGTTGGGCAAATGGGTTTTAATTATAATAAATGCAAGATAATGCATGTGGGTTATCATAATTTGGATGGGATTAATCTTAATAGTGTTACAAGGGAAAGGGATCTTAGTGTAATAGTTGCTCAGTCACTAAAGCCATCCAAGCTGTTGCTAGTTGTAGGGCAAATAGGATTTTAGGTTGTATCTATAGAAATGCTGAATACAACTCTGAAGAGGTTACACTTTCATTGTACAGGTCATTGGTTAGGCCACATTTGGAATATTGTGTTCAGTCTTTGAATTGTTGGAACCTAGGATGGAGGGGTTGTCATATGAGGAGAGGTGAAATATTTCAAATTGTTTTCTCTTGAAAAAAGAAGAGTTAGGGGGATCTGATTTAGGTGTTTTATAATTGTAATGGGAATTGATAGTGTTGATGCATCATCCTTTTTTCATACTTATCAGTAAGAATAGCAGGACTAGCGGACACAAATATAAATTTTGGCAGGGTAAGAGTCATCTTCAGCTAAGGCATATATACTTTTTTAACAGGGTGGTTGGCGTCTGGAGTGGGTTACCTTGGGATGTTGTGGAGGCAGTAAATTTAAGTGAGTTTAAGAGAAAGCTTGATAAGTATATGAATGAAAACGGGTGGCTTTAAGATTTTTTTTTATTGATAGTTTAATTTAGAGGCTAGAACAGCCGAGATGGACCAATAAATCCCATGTTGTCCCAAAACAAAATGTTATGTATCATTCTAGTATGCTTTTGCAAGGCTATAAGTTCATCACCATTTGAAGTTGATGTTTTTATGTAATTTATACTGGTGTTTATTTTTTAAAACAAGTAAATCAGATTCTTAACAATGTTACAATAGTGATACATCTTCAGCAATTACTAATGATGTGTCTTAAGGGGAAGTTTTGATTGACTATTGTGTTGAATCATCACTTAACTCTTTTTTTTTTCATAGGTGTCATTTGACATAACCGATCTTGTAACCATCAGAGTATCCATACCATAACATTTAATATAGTACATGGATCATCACAAAATTTGGCACGAATTCAGTAAACATTGGAAGTCTTTGTACACACACAAAAAAAAGGATTTTTCAAATAAACATTTTTTAATTAGAGATATGTATAAGAATATATGGAGTCATAGTGTTGACTGCTACATG